AACGGTGATCTCAGCCAGTCCGAGGCTATCAGCAACATGTCCAGTCCCGACTACAACGACGAGGAAACTATGGACATACTCAGTGCACGCGATATCATGATGGTCAGTGATCCGAGTGACAGTGACTCGACGATACTCGCCAGCGAGCCACCGCAGAGGAGGTTGAAGGCGGCAGCGGCGGCTGCTTCTGTACCACCGGTGTCGAACGCGTATACACCGGCGCAGGAGAATACCGAGCATAGGATAGTGATACAGGTGAAGGGGCCGGACAAGGACGCCACCGCGGCGAGGAACACCAGTCCCAGGCAGAATAGGCGACGGGGCAATCTCAGCAATCCGGAACTCGTGCCCACGTCCACCGCGCAGAACACCGTGCAACGGCCGACTGGCAATACCACGCCTGAGTTTGTCGGGTATCAGGTACGACATTCGTTCATTCGGTATTACAATCTTTACGGTTCTCGGGAATATAGGTTCGAGAGGCGAAGCTTGAGATTGGTTCAGGAGAAGATCTTGGATAAGAGACAAGTGCAAGTCCTTTTCCAGTCGTGAATCGTCATTGCGAAATGTCTATCAATATGTCTATTACTCACGTCTATTCGTTTCTTTCTTAAAACGTGCAACTTTACTACTTATCGTATTGACTCGTAAGAAGAAAACAATGTTATAAATATATCGACTTGCACGAAGTTCGTAAAATCGCAAAATCTAAAACAGTAGCGAAGAGAAAGATTCTTGGAATTCTCCTTCGCGGCATAGCACGAGATTTCTTTGATGTAAAGTAAATAAATTTATAAAATTACACGCTTACATCGATATTTCTGCTCGCGTACAATATATTTCCTGGAAGTGGTCGTGTCATTCCTGTTAGAGTCGTATCGGTGTCAAAATGCGACCGCAAAATGGGTGTTACTTTACGTACCCATTTTGTTCTTTATCTCTTTCATCTTATATTTCCTCTCCGTAGGAGCTGAAGGAGAGCGAGGACGAGAACGAAGCTCTGAACATCGGTAACTACGAGGACAAGCACGGAGGCGCATCACCGCCGCAGTCTGCGGACGAAGAGAGCGACATCGAAAGTTTGCACAGCTTCCATTACAGTCCGAAAGCGGTGGACCTACCATCGGCGGTTCGATTGGCCAAGAGGCTATACTCCTTGGACGGCTTCAAAAAGTCTGACGTCTCTAGACATCTTAGCAAAAAGTACGTACACACTTTACGGACTAAAGAAACGACCTGAAATTTTTATAAGATTTTTCAGAATAATCTCGGTCGGGTCTAGGTTTATTATTCGTTTGTCGTTTCAAACGTTCAAACCAAAGAACTATCTGTTTTTTAACTATTTCATTGTAGATGTATCATTTGATTCGCATTATATCTTCGCATATATATCTTACGATGTAAAATACTTATTATAGTAAAATTTATTAAAGCTTTTCGATAAATGTAAGCCGAGAATGTAAGAGAACAGGTCTCTGATACTTGTGATCGGCGATGATTGTAAAACGCCTAATTTTATTTTGCAACTTTTCAGCGCAGTTCGCATCAAACGAAATCTAATTCACTTCTGGGAGAATGATCGTATTTTAGAAATTCACCTACCAATAATCAATCAACTGACTCGTTTTTTATTTCAATTTGGAGTCTATAAATAATATCAGTTTAACAAATATTCCCAGAAGGTTCAAGCATGTTTGAGCGGAATACCAAGGTTTACCTTGGCGAATTCATGTCTGAAATTGTTTTGAAGATGTTATAAGATGTTGTCTCGTTTGGGCATTGCAGCAACGATTTTAGTAGAGCGGTAGCCGAAGAATACTTGAGATACTTCAGCTTCGAACGGGACACGCTGGACGTGGCTCTCAGAAAGTTCCTTGCCCAGTTCTCTTTGACTGGGGAGACCCAGGAAAGAGAGAGGGTCCTTGTACATTTCTCCAAGAGATTTCTCGATTGTAATCCGGGTGCATTTAATTCTCAGGGTAAACATTCAATTCTGTTGCATCCTTGTACACGCCGATGGTTTATATTTATTTACTCGCTTGTTTCGTTAATTTCAGACGCTGTTCATACCTTAACCTGCGCCATAATGCTGCTCAATACCGACTTACACGGTCAGAATATCGGTAGAAAGATGTCGTGTAACGAATTTATCGAGAACCTCTCGGAACTGAACGACGGCGATAACTTCCCCAGAGAGGTGCTGAAACAGCTTTACAATGCCATCAAATCGTTCCCCTTGGAATGGGCCTTGTGAGTTTCATCGAATTTTTAAATATAACATTTTCCTATTATTGTAAGATACTCGTGAAGATACTATAATATAGTGGGATGTATTGGCTGTTCAGAGACGAGGAAGGGGATGAAACTGCGAATCAGGCGATCCAACAGGGTGACGGTCCAGCGATATCTGGTACCGGAAATCCGTTTCTCGACGTGCCAAATGTTACGGGTGCTACGGAGTTTAAGAAAGGATACGTTATGCGGAAATGTTGCTTCGATTCCAACGGGAAGAAGAGTAATGCATTTTATATGATCTCTGATACATCTTCTTTCTCAAATAATTTCAAATATGTGCCATGATCTAAGAAATAAGAATCGCGCTGACGTGACTCGACAATTATTAGCCATGTCGATTAATTTCATCTGCATCTCGTAATTATTTGAAATTCAAATATCGTTCATTGATATTTCTAATGTGTGTCCCGCATATTTTGCAATGTAACGAAATACAAATGTTATTTAACTGGTTTTTTTAGCACCGTTCGGCAAACGCGGCTGGAAGATGTATTATTGTACATTGAGGGAACTTGTATTATATTTGCACAAAGACGAGCATGGCTTCCGTAACGATAGTTTGCACAACGCGATACGCATTCATCACGCGTTAGCCACCAAAGCGTCCGATTACACGAAGAAGGAACACGTCTTCAGGTTACAGACTGCTGATCAAGCAGAGTATCTCTTCCAAACGAGGTAATTATCTTTTAGCAAATTAAATCGTTGTAACGTAATTAATAACGTGAATCGGTATGACGAGTTGAGACTGAATATTTTCAGTGATTCCAAAGAACTGCAGTCGTGGATAGACACGATCAACTTCGTTTGCGCCAGTTTTTCTTGCCAGCCACTAGCAGGAGCGGTGGGTTCTCAGCGAAAATTTCAACGGCCTTTGCTTCCGTGTAGCCACACGAAATTATCTCCTGTGAGTAGTGTTCGTAAGATCGAAGAGATTAAGAAAAGTGGTTTCTTCTGCTCGGCCACGCAAACGAATATAATCTTGTCTTCGTTGTTTCTTTATTTGCAAGCCTTCCTCTACTATCCCCGAAGCGAACTCCGTTCTCTAAGTTCTCGTACTCGAGATTCGGACAGCAGAATTAGAATCGTCGTACAGAGTGTAGTGTAAAAAACGTATTAAATTAACACCAGTCTTAAACGAACAAAAAAAAAAAAGTAGAAAGATAGATTCTGTCTCGTGATTCTTCTTCCATCGTGGGTTGCGCGTTAAATGACGGTTTGTTGGATTTTTTTTGACGTGTTGTCAGAGAGAACAGTTACGGGACCATGAGGAGAGGGTGAGCAAATTGGAGACTGAACTGGAGGAGCACAGACGACATCCGCCTGAGAGAGGAGCTAAGGCTCTCACTGTACAGAATTATAAGGAAAAAGATGCCTACTTACATCACGAGGTAACGTATAGTATCCGTTATCAACCTTTTTCTTAAAAAGAAATTAGTTGTTTATAATTTATAATATCATTTAAATATTTTCTCCTTATGTATATTAAAAATTCCTTAAGTATCTCTGATTACATTAATAGATGTTTCGGTAGGCGTAGCGTAGAGATTTCTAGAAATTCTTAGAACGCGATAGAATTGGTTTTCATTGGCTGCATCTCGTAGAATATTTTATCGAATCGAAGCTCGAATTGCACAACGTCCGATGAGAAAAAGAAAATTCGCGGTACTTTCACCGCGTTGTATTTTATGTTCCCTCTTTCTGAACCAGTTACATAACTTTAATATCAGTGTGCTGTTCTCGTATTCCAGTTCCCGTCGACCTCTTTTCACTTCTACGTTAATCAACAGCTACTTACACGAGAACAATTTATTCCTAATATTGTATGGTTTTAATAGGCATTCCAGGTTAATGAAATTTGTCGCTTAACTATTAAAACAATTTTTAATGATGCCCCTACGTGACATCTCTAAATTTTCGCATGTTTGTCATTGCAGCTGAAGAGGTATAAAACATACGCGTACCTGTTACGATCCAGGTTGGCATTCACGGAGGTAGAACCGTCGCTGGTGGAGAGCAGTATCGGCGAGGTGGATGAGGGAAGTGGGGCCTTGCTGAACTCCGAAGTGGCACTGATACCGCCGCCCGTTCCCGATCGGCCAGCCATAAATAGGTACAGTTACAGGGCTGCCATTTACAACCGTAATCTGCTAAACGGTCAGGACTACGGCGGGGACATTGGTTGACGTGTGATGGGTGTCTTTTCAGCATGTGTGGTCTAATCTGACCTGCGCACGCAGGCAGAAGCAACAGCTGAAATTCGGGAGAGAATATTAACGAAAAAATACCTAACGATGTATTCGACGCATCACTTGTTAAGTACTGTACTTTGCTGCGCGCGAGCGCGCGCGTATCGTGTACTCACCATTCTCTTTTACTATATTTAATCGTAAACTTATCAGCGGCCATTAAAAGAAAACAAACCGGTAGTGCTAGCATTTGTTCGGCGTTCTGCTACAGCAGCCACTTCGATCTTTATCGTTAAATCGTTTATTTTTCCCTCTTATCGTAATATTATTTGATATCCGTTTACTTTCTTGCTTTCTTGTTTCCAAATTTTAATGACTATGTCGTTGTTGAACTTCATATTCATTATACAGAAAGCTGCTGTTCTAAGCGCCCATGCGAGAGACCGGCTAACAAACTGGTGATTGGGTCAGGGTTCGCACCTAACGCAGTAATAGTGTAAACGGTTCACTAATTATACCCGAGTAGTTTGTTAAAGCGTTGACAAAGACTTGGCAAGGCCCGATTCAAGACTCGTGCCTTGACTGAAGATAAGACCAGTTATGTATAGAACAATATTCCATTGGCCGGAACGATACTCATAAACTGTGACCATCGTTTAATTCATCCGAAACGTAAATCTACCTGTACAGAGGACAAACAGCTACATATACGATTTTTAAATGTATCGTAAAACTCGATCGAACATTTCTGTATTAAGAGTGACATAAATATTGTACAGAAGTGACCTAAACGAAATTGTAAAATCACGCCATCAAAAAGCAGAAGAAAGAAAAAAAGAAAGAAGACAATTGTACGGTATTTTGTTGCTATACCAAACTGTGTCTATCTTCGTACGTAAAAATGGAAGAAACCAGTATCTTACACAAGCATTCCCTCATGCTTTCCGCTTTTCAGTTCGCTGCTAACAATTTTATAACAAGTATTTAACTAGTTATGTCGGGTAACAGGTGGCGTGAAGTAATATGTCCTCTTCTCTTGCTATTTCGAGAAAGTTTCGCCAAGGGTGATAACACATTATATGGGTGCATTTGCTTTTATTTTTTTATGTTTACATATTTCTTTTTTTCTTTTTATTCCTTTTTATTTTTGTGTGCTACTCACAGTAGAATGTAACGACAGACTGTTCTCGATATATCTCCATGATCAATCGCCACTTCCATTGTCTTTTTTGTTTACCGCCTAAGGACCTAGACCTTTTTATCAGCCGAAGAGTCTCGCGTACAGCATTTTTATAGATCATTAATGTCAAGGATGGGATATACCGCGAAATTTCAAGGTATTCTGCACGTGTTGTTGACTATTTATTTAAAGGTTGAATAGATGCATTTATTTTCTAATAAACGAGACTAATCGAAATAAGTTAGGAAAGGTGCATACGTTTTGTTGGAAACGAGAGGAGAAAAATGAAAGGTAGTTGAGAACGGCGTGTTGTTTTGCCGTCGTTTCCAGTTTTCATTTGTTGGTTTCAACAAAGGCGATTTGATACGCTGGATGATATGTTAAAAATACGGCGATGTATTATGAAATTAAAGACTGGATATAAATCTAACTAGGCGCGTATTCCCGGCTCGAAGCTGTTCAGTTGCGACGAAAATTCTGTATCAGCCATTTTACACGCGTAAATGTACGATATATTTTTGTATTTGGTATATTTGCCGCGAATACGTTTCGCGTCTTTGTATTCCAATTCATCCGCATCCACCGATTTTTCCATGTGTTTTGCCTGATCGATTTATGCGTGTGCCCGATCCTCGCGATCGAGGAAAGCCAGTGAATCATCGTGCATGTGTTTTTTCTGTGATCGCGCGCTGTTGCTTTTTGCGGTTTTTTCGTAAATTGGTTGATACGAATGGAACAACGTTATTCCGGTAGTTTTAGTCGACAACGACGAATATAATAAAACGGAGAGTAAAAACATAAAAGTGGAAGAAAAAATCACGAGAGAAATCGAGTCCTTCGTTTCTCGGCATAAAAATATCGCAGATAAGGACTACCGTAGGGCCTCACCTTATTCTAATCACTGTTCCGACTTTACGTTTAGGTGCATAACAAGTAGCAAGTTATCGAAATTATTCTAGCCTTTTTAAATGAAAATTATCCATTAACGTATATATATATATACATGTATGTATATGTATACCGTGTACATATATACGAATATATGTATATGTATACACACGATTGTTCTTGCATAAAAAGTATTACGTAACTGACTTGGTGCTTCTTTCAGCGTTTTAATGATTTTTAGAAAAATAATAGGTTTTTATTGATATATAAAAATAATATTTATATGTTATATATCGTGCAAAATGTAATTCTTTGATAATACTTATGGTTAATATGTTAATAGTACTTGAACAATTGATACGTTTCTTTTAAACTGATTATATATTGTTGATATTACTTATAGTTACTAGCTATACACATAATTTATTTTATGGTAGAAAAGGCACTCTTGCAAGTGTTACGTAATTATTTTATGCCTGTATTCTGAATTTAATCAAGCGATACTCTTCTATACTCTTGGAAAAAGCAGTATTAGGACTTACTAATTTCTTACCATTCAGTTAGAGAGAGAGAAAGAAATCAAAATACATGGTTTTGTGCGATTATGTTGAACAAAGTTTAGCTATTTTAAACAAAGTTTAGCAGATTTTTAGTATAACGTTTGTATTAATCGATTGCAAGCATTCCAATGAAATTTCTCTCTTAGAGAACACCAAAACAAATCTGTTCATTGACTAGTCGAATTAGCGTTTTTAGATATGGTTCCTGTAAATCATGTTGCTGCTCAGTACGAATACATTAATTCTTAAGCATAAATCAGTAAAAGCTCTATTTCGTTACTTTTGTATTTTGATTGTAGGTAGTCGCTTTGATATTATCTGTTTACTATTTATTAAATACCATTCTTTTGTATCGTTCTCAAGAAGTCGTTCACTACATCTAATCATAGTGTACACTAGACCCCTTGTACATAAAACTGTATTATATGTGGATAATATAACGATTATTATAAACTATATAAAGCTAATGGCAATAAAGATAAACAGTCTCCAAATTAAATAGATTCGCAACTTTCATACATAATCCCACAGTTTTAAATACCAGTAGATACTTTACTAATACACTATGTGTACATGATGCGTATTTTTTTATTGATATCGCACAGTATCTTGCCCTTATTTTGCACGTCACAATATTTTCTGCATGCACAAAATTAATGGTACTTTTGGTAGCTAGTATTGCATTAATATTATGTTTAGCTTTCTTATTTGTATATCATTTATGAAAGAAATGGGAGCACTGTATGTGCTATTGATGTGATAGTATGTGGCTTAATAACGTTACTACGAACAACATTATACAAAATGAAATCAATAATATTATTACCAGTATTTATTACAATTGCATGAACTATGCACTCTATACAATTAATTTGCTTTGTAATACTTTTCTTTAATACTTCTCATATATCTTCAGTTGTAGAGTTGCACCAGTAATCATGAAAGGAATAAAATTGCAACTATTTATATACAAACTTTATATAATTTATATTGAAAAGAAATTCATTTGAAACTAATATTTTCTTTCATATATGTAGTATATCTAAAATGTATAAAGTATTAAGAAGAGAAAATTTTGCTACTAGATAGTATTAATACAAATTCAATTCAATTATTTTTGAAAATTTAGAAATGAGTCTAACTATATCGTCTACAGATTTCGTGTTAATGTACAAAATTTGACTTCATTTTTCTTATGCACTTCAATTTCTTTAAATATATATGTTAGAACTTCACTTGTACTGTATATATTATTTTATATTTGTTTAATGATTTTATTAATTTATTGCATGCAACAGGATTGAGCCAGTGTCATCGTGAATGAAGACAGCAGACCATCGCCAAAACTGTTTCAACGTGCACAGAAGTAACGTTAAAATTTTTTTCTTTTTTTTAATGAAAATTTGTCAACGTTGGAATTCATTGTTCCTAGTTGTTACATTAGTAGGCATCTATTATTTAAGAGAATCTTTATTTTGCACCAAAAGAATTATCAACTAAATCTGTTATCAGATGTGAAACAAAGTAATGTTGAAAAGTATTATGGAAATGCTGGAAAATTTCTCAAGATCATTTTCCACTATTACAGAACTGATTAAAGAATGCAATTTTAATCATAGAATACTTTTGTTTTAATCGCGATAGAGGATAAAATATTTGATTGAAATGAAATTCCCTGAAGAAACAAAGTTACAGATTATCATCAAACAAATTTATTACAACTTAATTCTTAAAATTATGACATGCCTCAAGATTTAATTACAAACTGGTACTAACGTCATCTCGATTAAGTCTTACCTAACGAAGATTTTCTAATTGATCTTGTTGCGAAAGATCAAAGATTGGAAAGGAAAAATGCTGTGAAAAAAAGAAATCTAAGTGATCAATTACTCTCTCTCTCTCGAGAATCGCTCGTTACATCGATCAAGGAAACTTAATGTTACGTTAAGGGATTATCGAGTAAAACGTTTTTACACAAATATACAACTATCAGCTACGAAATTTAATAAACACATGAAGTTCAGGACAAGTTGCATGGATTGCCATTACAATTGTACTATATTAAAAGCAAAAGATATCGCTCAACGTGATAAAGCTTTTTCTTACATATATATATAATTATATATATATATATATAATATATTATATATATATATATATATGATATATTATATATATATTTTTTATATTATATATATATGTAATATATATATTTCTCGTTCATCCTTCTTTTTCTTTTGTTAGATAAAATACTCGAAAAATTCTCGCTCGATTAATCATTGTGTTAGAAAGAATATACAATATACAATTAGAATATAGGTTTTACTGCGCAGTATACCAATCGAGTACGAATTTATAAAATCTGCGGAAAGCCGACTTTGTTTTCATATACATAATGAACTTCACAAACGCAATATTGCTGTCTGAGTCCTCGATAGTAATCTACACAAGTGATTTTCTTTTTTATAAGCGTTGTACCTTGTCTTCAAACTTACTTTTACGCTTAAGGTGATAGTTACTTTTTTTAAATTGTACATAGATCACGGTGTTGTAACGTTTAGACCGCCTTACAATCATATCGTGCATAAATGCCAAAGAATCGCATTTAAAAATACATTTTTTCTTACAATGTATTTCTTCTTCGCATTTACGTTCGTATATATTTCGCCGATTACGTCACTACTCGCTTTTATATTCTTTCTTTTTTTTTTTGTTTTGTTTTGTTTTGTATATTATTGCATATTTTTGCATACTGCGTAATTATATTGCTCTCTTTCTGTCTGATTTATGTCCCAAGTGTTCATACAGTAGCTACATTTACAAATACGAAAAGTTTATCGAAGATTTTGTCAGTTTTTTTTTATCTTTTTCTCCCTTTTTATATTCAATTGCACAATCAAATGTCACAAAGATATCGTCAGACATAATTTGTTCTGTATAAACTAATCATGACACATTCTTACAGTTAAATACTCATTGTACATATTATTTTAGCTTTGTTGTATCTCTTTTTCTTATACTAACCGAAACTTGAAGACGACTGTGTACTTCACGTACATGAAATATATATATTCCTTTGTAAATATTATTTTACAGTTACGAAAATAAAATTGTGAACGTGATCTGTTCTCGTTTTGTGTTTTTTCTTCTTTATTCCTCTTTCCTTAAACTACTTTCTCCTTATACATCCTTTTGTTACAAATTAAACAAATTAAATGCAATGTACAATTTCATAAATATTTCTCTTGTTACCTGATAAATAATACGTTAAAGTCGAAACTTCAATATTTTGCTATAAAATTATTTCATGAAAATTGATTTCTATGTAATTTGCTGCTAAAGAATAAATTTGGCTCTTTTACATTATGTCATTGCATTACACTGCGGTTACGTTACAGTTACAGTTACAGTTTAAAATCTTTGTAGATTCAGTAAAGATATATACAGGATTTGCATATGAATTCGCACTTTATATATAAACTGCTTATGCAAAAAGATATTATTTGACAATGGAAGAAATATTTTCTCTGATGTAATTTGTAGTTCTAGATTGGATTTAGAAGTCTTTTGAATTGTTACGATCTATTAAAATGCATAAATACTTTGCGACTTTGAAGCTAATATTTATCATGGTAAAAGACTTGAAATAGAACGACGATTATATTATTTATCTACTAAACGCTAATAGATCGAATTACACACAAAAAAAAGGTATTTACAAAAACGAAATAGATCAGTAGATTTTGTACGGATTTATTATCATATAATGAAATATATATATAGTCATAATCGTATATAATTCTAAATTAGATACTGTTACTTTACATAATTCATCTGGTGATTCAAAATAACATGGATCTCTACTTATTTACAGATACAGTGCAATGTGTATGCAATAATTAATAAACGATTTATATTACAATATCGGTCAACTAAACGTTGACTCTACTCAACATACAAAGATACAAACTTCCTGTATACATACACACGACCCATAAAATTTATTTTTTTTTTGCAATTACTTTGTGTCGCGTTCTTAAAGAGTGTCCGTAATATACAAGCGATCAATGTTTCTATGTTTTGTAAAGTAAAACTAATATTGTACAACTTTGGAGGAATGTTGTGATGGCATAGCACCAACTTCACTATGAATCAATTAGTCAAACTGCAATGGCACTTTACAAATTAAATAATGTGTCTATTATATATATAATATATATATATAATTTTTTCTCCATGTAAAACCTACCCAATAACGTAGTAACAATAACAACGGTGGATCGAGCTTTTTAGTTCATCCACTTGCGGCAGTTAGGAGCGCCACACGCGCATGCTATCTTGTGCTGGTCATCCTCGATGTCGAATTTGTAATCATATGCCAGCTGCAAGGAACAATGTTATATAAATCTCTTCTTTCTTTTTTAAGTTAATTATGACAAGATTACCTAGCGTGAATCAAAAGATAACATACCTCCTCGCCACGTGAGATTCTCCGTTTTGCAAAGATTATGATTCTAAGATCACGTTCAACCTCAACGATTTCAGCGACACAATTTGGGTTACAAGAGTGATTGATGTACCTTGCGAGACCACCACACAACGTGGCATCGACCACTCTCTCCTCATCCAAGCGAAACATATAAATACCACGATTCTGTAATAAATATATTTCTAAAATTGCTTTCAACCAAATCCTTAATTCCTTTTCTTCGCCCCCTTAAGCAAGTACGTATAACACGTATAAAATCAAAAGTGTATCGTACACCTTATATTATTTATAGCATTGTTCTCTGATACACGCTAGTCAACTAAAGAGAAACCTACCCTTGCTTCATACTGCTTTTCCCTAGTCTCGGCCAATTCAGTACGAATGATTTCTCCGATATATTCAATGACCATTGTGTGTTTCTCCAGATCACGCGCGGCATAAAGACCAAGACCTTGGATTTTGGAGCGCGCCAGATATACGTTGTTCCGCCACTCTTGCTTCATCTTTTTGTACTGAGAACTCTTCGAATGCACAAATTGTTTGGAATAGGGGCACGCCACTTCGCCCGCGACAGTCGCGGTTGGAACGAAGGCTGCTCGGGCCGATGAGCCTGTGCGCTGCGTGTGAGGCCTCTTCCAAGGGAGCTGATTGCGAAGACGAGCTTCCGTTCTTGCGCTGCCGGTGGGATTGATCGCTAACGGTAATTCTAATAAGGGATTTCGACCGTATTTAAATCTGTAATCGGTCAGAGTTTCAATGCCTGGAAGACTTTCGAGAACACGGACGACCGCTGGTTCGGTAAGTCCAAACAAATCCTCGCCGGAAACGTAACGCGGAAATAGTTGGACGCTGTGCGTTGATCTTCGTAGCTCAGCGAGAGGTTCGAGTATTCTGCTCCAAACAGCGCGAGGAGTAGCGTCGCGAAGTTCAACATCCTCTTGTGAAGGTTCTTGCACCAGGACGCGAAATTCGGGTCGACCGGAAACGTCATGGATAGAACAGACGTAACG